CCCCAAAACCCCAAAACCCCATAGCGTCTATTTAGCCAGATTTTTATCGTATATTTATTACAGGGGGTTATTACTTTATATTTAAAATATTCAGAATCCTACTTTATGGGACCACTTAAGAATTATAAAATTTCTCCTAATTCTGGAAGCTAAGCCTTTTAATTTTACAAGATAAATAGGCTTAGTGCTTCATTGATAATTTTGACACTCTTAGCATTTGCCTAGTTCGGCACATCTTAAAACTAAGAATGAAAACCTCATTTGTTTTTGAACAAGATCTTTTAAGAAAATAGGCAGCTTCAATAAGAGTAGCCGACTGATCCAGATAAAACCCAGGATTTGAATGAAAAATTGCCAGATGGTAAAAATTAAATGAAACTTATATAAATCCTATAGATTTACTTATTAGTAGAACCTATAGGTATTATAGAGAAATAGAAAACTTGACAGATTACTACAGTCTTATCCAAAATCAGCTATTGAAATTAAATAACTCGGATATATGCTAGAGAAATGAATCAGGCTTTTTTGTAGAAGCTACTAATTCATGTTATAGTAATCTTTGTAATGTGTGATGATCTTTTAAGGTTGTGATACCAAGAATTGTAAATTTTGCACTGAATAGACTTGCTTTTAATGCCTTCCAGGATTTTATTTAAGAATTGATAAAGAAACCTAATAGACTTAATGTGTAGGTAAGAGATAGACATCAGCTATTATAGATTAAATTTTAATTTTTTGAGACTATTCTCCTCCTAACAAAATCTTTTTTATAGAATGCTAATCTAATTGCCTCAAATGTTTCCTTAAATCATAAGCAGATCAGACATAAGTATGCAAAGAGTGCTCTAATTACTACCAGAAGGATCAATAAAACCCAGCAATATGCGTTTCGAATCAAAGTAGCTGTTAAGCAGAATACTATTATGATCTTGAAAGCTAAATGTGCTCTAAATGCTTAGATGGATGTCTTGATTGCAATAACAATGAAACTTGCACCTAATGTGATATTTTATTTGACTATAGCTTATCTTAACATAACTAATAATGCACGTAGATGTCAATCTAAAATATGATTGATTAGAACAACAGTAATCCTCAGTGTGAATCAGGTTAATACTACAACAGCACTTAATAAGAGTGCTAAATGTGCCAAGATAGCTGCTTATCGTGTACTAATTCTTCTAATTGCTTACAGTGTGCTGATGAATACATTCTAATAAGACATAACAATACAGACAATATGACCAATAGTACATAATGTATCAGCAAAAAATAAATTTGTCCTACAGGTACCTATTACAACATCTCATAAGGATAATGTACGTACTGTAGTATCTAATAGTGCTCTGAGTGTTCAGACTCTTAAATTTGCACTAAATGCCAATCTGAGTAATTTGTCTTAATGGATGGATTTTGTGTCGATTAGTGCATAGATTAGTCAAGTAGCTCAAATCAAACTAAATACTGGAATAATGAAACTAAATTGTGTGAAAATTGCCCAGAAAATTGCAAATATTGTGAAAAATTGTAAAACTAGTCAACTCCCACTTGCAAATTTTGTCTGTCGGGGCACGAAATGAAATTAAACTAAACCTCAATGAGAAATGAGTGCATAGCTATAGATTGCAATCAACCAAAAACTTATAATATTCCAAATTCGTCACTCTGTGAATATTGTTCTTATGGCTGCTAAAAATGTGAAAATAGCTCTAATGATTGTGTTGAATGCATCCAAAACTACGCATTTATTCCGTACTATAATTACTAAAATTAGACTTTAAAATATGGTTATTGTCAATCTAATTGCTCATAAGGTTAATATATGAGCGATTATAATAGTGGCACATGCTCGTAATGTATTGATAACTGCGATTACTGTTTGAATGGAGATCATTGTGGTCAATGCAAAGATAATTTTTATTTAGAATTTTCAACCTCAGGTCTTACAGAAGAATAATCTATTTAAAAAAATAATACAAAATGTCAAGCCTGTCCTGACACCAATTGCTAAAGTTGTTATTAATCATTTTACTCCAGTAATTCTTCTCAAGTTTATTGCATTATGTGCAAGGTTGGGTATGTGACTGATTTGAATTCTAGCCAATGCGTAAAAGCGCCAAGTTGCAATTAAAGTTATTACTTTGATTAAACTTTTAGGAGCTGTAGGAAATGCTATTAAGAGGGATGTAAGGACTGTACAGCTCATAATGGTTGCCAAAGTTGTTTACCTGGATACACATATAACTCAACAGCAAAGAGCTGCAAATCAATGTGTACTTAATAAGAATTTTATGACAATACCACTAGCACATGCATAGGTTGTAGTAACGAGGGCTGTCTCACTTGTTAAAGTAAAGACTCTTGTATAACTTGTAAAAGTGGATACTCTCTCTATTATAACAGGATTCTAAAGGATTATTAATGTGTAAAGTGCTAAGATAATTGCGTTTCATGTTCATTTGTAAATGATGCTAACCTAACAAAAATTATTCCAATCTGCCAATAATGTGAAAAAAATACAAGGCTTAATAAACACAATAATACTTGTTAGGCAAATGTATGTCCGGCTGGAAAATACTACTTATCTTATTGGGATTAATGCTATACCTGCTAATAAGGGTGTAAGACCTGTAGTGACTACAATAAATGCACTTAGTGTAATAGTAACGATGGATCTTAAACACTTGTAAATGGATATTGCTATGATACATGCTAATTGCAAATGATAAACAATAACTTATCTAAGCCACTCTTTTTCGATCCAATTTCTAATTCCTGTAAAAATTGCTCATAAGAAAACTGTGCAAATTGCAATTATGATTAAGATACTTAGTCTGATAAATGCCTGAATTGTTCATTTGGATATGAATTATCTAGTGACAAGTAATTGTGTTAAGCCATAAACTGTGAGTAACCTGGAGTATATAAAGATGGAGAATTGTGCGATTACTGCGCTATAGGTTGCTAAGAGTGCAGTGGAAAATACAATTGCACTTAATGCATGAATAATATGAATAAAACATTTGGATAGTGTTTTGAGAACTGCTTACAAACCTAATTCTATGACTATAATACTTAGACCTGCAATGATTGTATCGACAATTGCACTTATTGTAATAAGTCCACAGGAAGGTGTATAAACTGTGGACCATATTTTACTCTTATCAATAGCACTGATGGTAACTAAGTCTGTAAATCCTGCCCTTCAGGATGCTAATACTGCTCGATGAATCAATTAACTGATATGGATGCTTCTCCATAATGCTTATTCTGTGATTATGATAAAAATTTAAATGATAATGGGGAATGTGTATCAAAATATACTTGTCCATCGAATTAGTTTTATGACTAGTATTGTGGTGAATGCAAACCTTGCTAAGAGGGATGCTAGGGCTGCTAAGGATAGCGAACTAATTGCCTTTCATGTGAAAAAGATTATGAATTTATAAATGGTACCTGCAAGAAAAGATGCAAACAAAATTAATATAGTGATTCAGATTCAAATTGTTAAGGTAGGAATAATACATTCAACTTAATTTTAATTAGATTGCTCTAGCGGATGCTTGAGTTGCAATCAAAGTGATAATTGTGGATAATGCTTTGAAGGATATACACTAATCTATGACTAAAATGCCATAAACTCTTCAATCAAGACCAAATACATAGAAGGAGCATAATGCAATTGTAAAAATTAGTTTATATCATATGATTTATTGTAGAATGTCCAAACAACTGTCTCAAATGCTTCAAAGAAAATGAATCTGCCACAATTTAATGCGCAGCTTGCCAGAATGGCTTCAAATTGGAAGAAAATTAATGCAAAGAATAGAGTTGTTAGACTGGATAATACTATGATTCTAAGTTTGAAACATGCATTTAATGTCCTGAGAACTGCACATCATGCACATCACTAACTTAATGTACTTAGTGTTCTAATTCTCAGCTTGAAATTTCTAATGGGGCATGCAAAGATAAATGTTTAATTAAAAGTCAGGCAGAAGGGAAGCAGTACTTTTATAATGCAACAACTCAAGGATGTGACACTTGTGAGGAAACTAATTGCGCTTATTGTAATGGACCAAAGAATTGCCAGTATTGCATACAAGGATATTTAATGAATAATGAATCCAAGTGTGTGAAATGCATGGATAACTGTCAAAATTGCTCACCAAATGATCTAAGCACTTGCTTAACTTGCAAAATGGGATATAAATACAATAATTAAACTCAGACATGCGATAAAATTGACTGCAGTCTTTCTAATACTTACAAATTAGATAATAATTATACCAATTCTAATGAAGAATTATGCGAGTTTTGCTAAGATGGATGCTTGAATTGCTCATCAAAAATGCATTGCTATCAATGTGGTCCACTTTACTCTCTAGTCTCAGATTCCTATTGCACTCCAAACTGTCCTGAAAGGAACTTCTTCAATTATTCTACTAAATCTTGTGACTCCTGCCAATAAAACTGCCATACCTGCGCAACGAATTCATATTGTTTTGAATGCAACTTGGGATTTTTCTTAAATATCACTAATGTAGTTAATGAAAGTGATACATCTCAGAATTCTACTTAGCTTAGAACATGCGATGCTTGCCCAGAAAACTGCCAAACTTGCGAGAAAAATGGTTCTTCCAATAGTTTGCAATGCTTAACATGTGCTTTAAATTCTTAGCTAAATACAACTGATTAAAAATGTTATGTTACTAATCCGATTTCAACCTTGCGAAATTTGTAGGGATTGAATACAACATAAAATAGCACTTAAAACAATACCTAGAATCAAACTGGCAATTCAACCTAACTCAATAATACGAATACCACATGCTCTACTGGCTTTTATTTCAATAACTCTTTGAACTAATGCATATAATGCATGAATAATTGCTCTGATTGTAGTTAGTTTGGATGCTACAGCTGCATGAAAAATTACTATATGAGAAGTGTCTACGATCCTGATACATTAACACAGAAGTAAGCATGTATCTACGAATAGTAAAAAAATTGCTCTTTAGGGCAATATAAAGAGGATAGAAACAATAGTTGTAGACAATGTCCAAAAGGGTGTAATACATGTATAAACGATAAAGTATGTATGTCTTGCAAATTCGGCTTTCTAGCTATTCCTAATGCTAATGGATATATAAATTGTGAATAAACTTGTCCTCTTGGAATGGCTGCAATATTTGAAAATGAATAATCAAGATGCTAGAAATGTGATCAAGGATGCTTATCATGCGATATGAATGGTTGTCTGGAATGCTAATCTAACCTAACACTTATTACAGATAAAAACAAAATCTCTAAATGTGTGCAGAATTGCCCAATTGGTACATTCAAGGATGCTCTTAAAAGAATATGTTTAGGTAAATTTAAATCTATGTTAAACATCATTAGATTGTGACTAATCTTGTCATACTTGCTCTGGTCCTAGTTCTAGTGAATGCTTAGGCTGCGGGTAAAATCAGGTATTAAATGCATTTTAATAATGCGAAAGTCCATGCTAGTCAGATGAGTTTTATTAGTTAAGTGATTCTAAATGCTATAAATGTGATTCTACATGTCTAGCCTGTTCTTCAAATTCAACATAATGCACTTAATGCATCTCTCCTTTAATTTTAGACTAAACTAGTATGAAATGCATTCAAAAGGATGTTTCTTGTAAAAGTGGATAATTTAAAGATTCCTTATAAAATATATGCCAAGACTGCGATTAAAGCTGTTAGGAGTGTAATGGAACTTCGGTTAACCAATGCACAAAATGTCCTTAAACTTCATTTTGGTATATAGATGAATCTACTAAGAAAACTCAATGCATGAGTAATTGTCCTGAAGGATTTTTTGGCAACTCAACTGCAGGATAATGTCAAAGTATGTCTAATATTTATTTATGATAATTTAGAGTGTTCAACTAGTTGCAAGACTTGCTCTTAAATTCTAAATAAGGAAATTTGCTTGTCCTGCATATAAGAATAAAGCATTTTCTAATCTAAATGTGTTGAATCTTGCCCGCCTGGTTACTTTAGAAAAAATGGAGTTTGCTCTAGTTGCCCTATAGGATGCAATGAATGCGATGGGACTTCGTGTATTGAATGCTAAGAAGGTTATTCTAACATTTCTCAGCTAGATACTACAACTGCTACTAAGTAGCTCATATTTTCTAATATTTGCTTATTAAAGAATACAACTGAGTGTCCCAAAGGCAGCTACTATAATTCTGAATTCAAATAATGCTTAGTATGCTCCAAAGGATGTGCCTAATGCTCATCCCAAGATAACTGTACCTTGGCTTGTAATTAAACACTCTGTACTGACTGTCTTGGAGACAGCAATAGCTGTTTAGAATGCAAATCAGGTGCTTTTTAATTCTATAATGATATGAAATGCCTAGAGAAGTGCGAAAATTAACCAGGGTATTACTTCAATTAAACAACAGAACATTGTTAAAAATGCTCAAAAGGATGCACTAGTTGCTAAAACGATACATCATGTGATTCTTGTGATGCAGGAATGCTTAAGCTTCAATCCCTACTAACTCAATAAGAATATTGCGTTTCAGACTGCTTTGCTACAGGATTACTAGAAAAATAGTCACTTTTTAATAACATAACAAGTAAAAAATGCGATAGTTGTGGCAAGGGTTGCTTAAAATGCCAAGATAAAAGAAACTGCACTGTATGTCCACCATAGAGCTCTCTTATAAATGGAACTTGCAGGTGTGAATTCACTTATTAGGTTACCCCTTCTGTCTAACTAAAGAAACTTCATGTAGTTACTAATGACATAAGCTGGGGATCCTTATTCCTAAATAAAACTGTTCCCTGTGACATCCTCTTTTAAGAGTATGAAATCAGTAACTCATTATGTAGTGGATCATTACCCTATATTCTGAATTTGAATAATGAGTTTGCAAATTAATTTAACTATTACTTCTATCCAATAACTCGTTTTGGATTATTAAGCACATCAAAATGCATGACATTGAATACTAAAAAAATTGTCTATCAGCCACAGATCTAAGATTTCATTGAGATGGATTAAACTCACATTCATGTTATGGATGTGGATGATTCTTAAATGCTAAGATTACTAGATGGAAGGAACGTTTTAAAGCTAAATACAGATAGTTTTATTAGAAAATCTTGTATAGACTAAAATGAAGATTACTTTATACAAATTGTCAAGCCAAAGATAGATAACTAAACGTAATCAAAATCATCAATAATCTTAGATTCTCCTCTATCAAATTATTCAAATTCAACAAATAGCAGCTATAATTAATAGGATTTCTACTAATAAACCAAAGATATAAATAGTTCAGATTAAATGGCTTTCTATTTGGATAAATACTCCCTAGTAGTGAATAAATGCTCACCCGTAGAGGAAAATAAGATCAGCATCCTTTACTCTTAAGGATATGAAAATGGCTACTCTAGTTTTATGCTTAATATGACTCCTATGGAGGATAGTAATCTTATAAAAAATGGTAAAAACATTTCAGATTATCCATAACTCTAAAATTCAGCATAAAACGTAATTTAAAAGTTCTATTCCAATTCCATTAATTTTATGGTTTCTAAGGTTATAGACTTTAATGGACTTCTAGATTTAGTTGATGATTCAATACCTTAGCTTAATTTAATGCTGAATCTGACTTTATTTGATAATCAGATGACTGGCTCGTCTAGAGTGATAATAATTTCTCTTTAAAATTTCAATCAGATTGCTGTTGCTTTTGACAAAAAGACATAAATGGTTGTACCAAACTATAAGTATCAGCTTCAGCCAATTCTCAATAGATATTCCTGCTAAGGTATATCGCAAGTAAAACTCTAAACTAAGTCACTTGCAAGAAAATATGGATTTTAGATGAATTGCTCTATTTTAGGTGATAATTATGATATGAGCTAGACAATCTCAAACTGTCTAATACCAGCTAATACACTAATAGAAAATTAGAGATATGACTTGAGATTGCAACTTACAAATGAGCTTTTGAATATAACACTAGCTGAAACTGTTGCACTTACAACTGAAACAGTTGTACCTTTTTGCAAATTTAAATAAGGCTCTTAAACTCTCATGAATCCTTTGAATTAAAATAAACTTTCAGCTTTTATGCAGAGCTCGATTTCCTCCATAAATTATTAGTACAAATGGAGCTGCATGAAGAAAGATCAAGCTACTGGAGAATATTTCTCTTGCTTAAATTTTAATGCAACTGCATCCTAGACAACTGATTACCTTATAGCAGAAAATATTTTCGAATATTCTTCATCCTACATTGTTATGCTGCATATACATTAGACTGGATCTCTCAATAAGCTTTCAGATTGCTCTATTTAAATAGATACAGTTAATGATTAGTCTCAACTTATAATACCAATTAGCATTAACTCAGAAGTAGATACAATTGGCAAGCTTCCAATAAATAAACAGCAATTCAAATTTGTCTGCGAGGCTGAAAAACATATGTTTAGTGATAAATAATTAGCTTACAGATGGATTTTGATTGCAATTAAAAACATCAATGAAATAATTGACTTGAGTAACAAAACTAATGTTATGATATAAGGCAAATACATAAGAATATAAAAAGATACTCTCATTGAGAATACAAATTATATGATTCAGTGTCAAGTAATGACCAATAAAACATATCCATTAAGTGGTGCAGTTGGATTGAGCAGTTTATTATTCAATACTTAGAGTTAAAGAGAAGATGATAATGATAAAATTACTCTAACCGTAGATAAAACAAAAGGCGATTCTTATGTCTCAGTATTTAATGCTACATTGACAACAACTTAAGAAATGAATCTTTACTGCTTAATTGGATATAATGGCCAAAGTAATAAAGAGCGAGTAATAATTTACGAAAGTCAAAATTATGAGTCCAACATTAGCTTAAGTGTCTAATTTACTATTGGCGAAGGTGTCTATTCACTCTTTGCGACTTGCACTGATTCTTCAGATATAAATTACAACTAATAAATATAGCTTAATTCCACGCTTTAAACAACAATGACAACCGAATTGTTAAACTTAATGAACTAGAAATTAATGATTGAAATCAATAGCATTAATAAAGAAGAATTAATGCAAGCACTCTAAATTTCAAATCAATTCAGAGATAAGCTGAATTCTACCTTTAGAAAATAAATCATAGCATCCTCTATAAATATGATGATGGACTAATTAGATTCAGATATAACTGATCAGGACACAAGTAACCTTTCCACAGATGATATGTTGAATATTGTCGCGACTGTATTAGATTAAGTGATTAACGATACAAATATCTTAAATGATCCAATTTTAATGTATAAAACTGCGAATATTGTTAAGATGATTGCAATGAGCAGTACCAATACCACAACTGCCTCAATAGAAAGAAATAATAATGAAACTATTATGGTTAATTTACTTGATGATGGATAATTTAACAGTATATAAAAGACTATTGGGGCACTTTTAGATTTAAGCAGTGAAAATTCTTCATTTAATATTAATTCCAAGGAGCTCTTAACTTCATTTGCAGTAGCTATTGATAGTTACGTTGGAAATCTTATGCCTAATGAAATGATAAATGCAAGCATAGGTTAGATAGCTTATTCTGTAATAAAAATGAATTAAGGAGAGCTTGCTTCTAATGATATGACCAATTTAAGCATAAACTCTGAGAAATCAAGCAAATAGGTAACAGTAATGATCAATGTCTCTGATCCCATTTTCGCCTAATATGAAAATTTGATTCTTAAAAGCATTGTTTATGATAATCAGCTTGAAACTAGCAATACAATTCAAAACTAGAGCATATCAATAGGTAATGCATCATTTACATCAATTAGCAGATTAGCAAGTGATATTCTTGTATTAAACGTAGATACATCATCATAAGCAGTAAGTTTAGAGGGAACATATGATCTTGAGAATGTGAATGTTTAAAATCTCACAACACCCATAGAATTTAAAATAAATGTGACTCAAAGCCTGAATTCTTTTGAGAATATCACTGAAAGATATTACTAGTGTGTTTACTTTGATGATTCAAGCAATGAATGGAAGAAATCTGAATGTGGAGATAAGTAGAATGCTACAGATTAAAACTATATTACTTGCTGCTCAACTCACATGACAAAGTTTACAGTCCTTGAGACTGTAGTTCAAAAAGTAGACAAGAGGGATGAAAACGTTGATAAATTATTGTTTTATGAGAATGAGGATATGTTCATTGGAGGAGTTGTTATAGCTTTCAATTCATTCTTAATTGTATTTGGAGTAATTGGCTGCACCTTAGATTGCTATAAGTCTTTGTTACTATATGCTCCTATTGAATCAACTGATAAAGAAACATAATAAACTTAAAAAAGGCAAGCATAGAAAACTAAATATGGCAGCATCCACAAGGAGTATCTAGGTCCAATTGCAATTAATCAAGATGATAGTTATATATAGAATGAGATGGGAGAATAAACTATGCAGCAAATTCCTATGAATGTGAAAGCAATGGATCCAACTGTGCGTCCTCCATTCAATGGGCATATGGTTTCTGAATAGGAAGAGCAGCCCTAAAGGAAATAAAAAAATAAAGATAATGATTTCGACAACATCTCTCCAAAGGCAATCAGTTAATAAATTAAGAATTAAAATAAAAAATATAACAAGTATTCAGAGATGTAGCTTGAAGGAGGTTCATCTGAAGAAGATGACTAAGCTCAAGAACTTCAAAATAGAAGAAGAGCAAGAAAAAAGCTTTCTTAAAAGAAATAAAGTGAAAAGAAGAAGGAGTTGCAGTAACTTCCTGCTGAACCAAGTTAAGATTAGCATAATAAGTTATTTAATGACTACGAGGTGACTGCTCAGTATTCTGTGAAAAAGAAATCTAATATGGATTTATAATCTTCAGCCTCTGATGGTGATTACAAGAAAAATAAAAGTAAAATTGATGATGGAGATCAGAGCAGTAGTGTAGGGAACGATCATGTTCAAACTAAAGGTGGAGAACTTGACGAAACAAAGGCGAGGATAATGGAGGGTGGTTAATTGATTTTGCCAAGTCATGGCGTACTCTAGAATGAAGATGATGATGATTCATAAATCACATCAAAATAGAATGATGATGAAGAAGATATCCAAAATGGTTCTGCAACAAGAGCATTAAGAGATAAAAAATCAAGTAATAACGATATTAAAGATCAGAGTAGAAATGAGAAAGAATGCAATCTTGAATAACAATTTGGATCTTAAAACATTGAGATTTCTTTCAAATCGCAATATTTAATAGCTCTCTAATGCTATAACAGATTAATCGGCATACTCTTTAGAGAGACTCCATTTTATCCAAGATTTATGAAGGTTCTAAATTCAACTTCCTAATTTTCCTTAATATTAATGCTGACTGGACTGATGAGCGTTGTCAATGAAACCGAAAGGGGAGCAGCAATTTTGATTTCAATTGCAATCATGAGAATCGCATAGATACTATTGAACATTATGATTTCCAAATCATATATTTTAGGCAAGGCAAAACTCAGAAACATTTTGGTATGCATTTTCTTCTTTATAGTTCATGTTGTTTCATAAATTGTGTCGATGAGAATATTTAGAGATAGATTTGTTTATGAAATTGATGAATGGAAAGGCTCATTTATAGCTACCATCATTATTGAACTGATTCTAATTGACTTTGTTATTAATCCGCTTGTCCTTTGCTCAATGATTTAATGTTGTTGCTAGAGGGCTTGTAAAAAGTTCCTCTCCCCATCAATGAGTAAAAAGGAATACATAGCTCCTAATTGAGATGCGTTTTCTAAAAGATTATGATTATTATGAGAATATAGATACATAATCAGAGCTATTATATAAAATTTCAATATTTTCGAATTTATTAAACTTTATTGGAAAACTATTATTGCATTATTTGGAGATAGGGGTTTTGGGGTTTTGGGG